TAAGAAAATTAGATCAGTTATTTTTAAATGGGTTATAGGCTTAAGGTGTAAAGGTCCCACATGTATCTATCTTCTTATTAAGAAAGAGCTCATTTATTTGATGCCTTCTCAGTTGCTACCAATTTTTTCATGTAGGCACCAATTGCCATAAACTTTCCTGTTAACACCGCTTTTGCCATATCCCATAAGTTTTGATAGGTTGTATTGTCATCTTCGTCCGTTTCCAGAAATTTTTTGATTTTGATTTTGATTTATTCTATGACCCACTGTTCGTGCAGAATCATTTTTTTCAGTCTTCGTGTGTTTCATATGTTCTAGAGATTCTTGAGTTGCTTATTTCCAGCTTCATTACATTGTGGTCAGAGAAAATGCAAGGTATGATTTTGATTTTTGTGTATTTGCTGACACTTGCTTTATAGCTTGGCATGTGGTCTATCCTAGAGAAAGTTCCATACACTGGGTGTGAAGAATGTGTATTCTGCAACTGAAGAATGGAAAATTCTATAGATATCCGTTGGGTCCATTTGGTCTATAGTGTTAATTAACTCTGTTGTTTCCTTGCTGATTTTCTGTCTGGTTGATCTGTCCATTGCTGAGACTAGGGTATTGAAGTCCCCCATAGGGGATGCCAGTGCTTCAGGCCGGGGCTTTAACCTGCTGTGCCACAGTGCTGGCCCCACTTTGTCTCTTTAAATAGTTTTTGTGTTAACGTCTATTTTGTCTGATATTAGGATCTATACCAGCTCTTTTTTGGTTTCTGTTAGCATGGAATATCTTTCTTTATTCTTTTACTTTCCATCTGCTGGTTCACTCTCCAAATGGTTGCAAAAGGTGGGCCTAGGCTAGACAAAGCCTGTAGCCTGGAACTCCCTCCTTCTAGATCTCCCATGTGCATGCAGGAGCCCAAGGACTTAGGCCATCTGTTGCTGTGTTCCCAGGCACATTAGCAGGGAGTTGGATCTGAAGTGGAGCAGCTGGGACTCAAATCCAGGACTTGAAAGCTAGCATTCCAGTACTGCAGGCAGCAGCCTAACCTTCATCACCACAGCACTGGCCCTTTACCTTTTTAAATTTTGTTTGACCTTCCCTTCCTTCCTCTCTGTTTCTTTCAGAAAAAGCAGATAATTTAGAGTTGAAGAGACTAGGTTTAGTGTCTGTTTCCCATCCCTTCCCCCTTACTAGTAATATGCTCCTAATCAAGTCATATTGTCTTCCTGCACCTGGATTTTCTCTTTTATAAAAATGGAGATAATCCCACTATGTGTTGTCACAAAGTTCTTGTTAGACCTGGTAGGAAAATATTAGCGCTTGGTCCATCATAAAACAGTGTGTAGATACAGACTATTGACTTAATTCAGAGGCAGAGTGTTATGATAAAGAAAACAGATTTGAGCCATATATACCTGTATTTAATTCTTGTGCTGACCTCTAACTAGTCTAATCTTAGTTTCCCTATGTGTAAAATCTAAAAATATCTATTTTTTGTTTGTAAGGAGGAAATAAGATAATGTTATAAATCTCTATGAGGTAGTAAACAGCATCACATTTTGTTCCCACTTCTCTTTAGGTGAAATAGTTGAAACTCAGAATTAAATTATTTTTCCAGGGCTATACAGGTAGTAAGTAAGTGAAATGACCAGGGTTAATCCTTACCATCAAATATAAGTTTGCTTTTTTTAAAAGATTTCATTTATTTGAGAGGCAGAGTTATAGAGAGAAGGAGAAATAGAGAGCAGGAAAGACAGAGAGAAGGATCTTCCATCCACTGGTTCGTTTCCCAAATGATTGCAATGGGTGGAGCCGGGCTGATCCGAAGCCAGCAACCATGAGATTCTTCTGGGTCTCCCATGCGGGTACAGGGGCCCAAGCAGTTGGACAATCTTCCACTGCTTTCCCAGGCTCATAGCAGAGAGCTGGATCAGAAGAGAAGCAACTGAGAAAGGAACCGGCACCCATTTGGGATGCCAGCACTGAAGGTAGAACTTAGCCTATTGTGCCAAGAGCCTGCCCCATAAGTTTGATTTTTTTTTTAATTTGACAGATAGAATTAGACAATGAAAGAGAGATAGAAAGGCCCTCCCTCCATTGGTTCACCCCTCAAATGACCGCTATGGCCAGAGCTGCGCCAATCCGAAGCCAGGAGCCAGGTGCTTCCTCCCTGCCTCCAATGCGGGTGCAGGTGCCCAAACACTTGGGCCATCTTCCACTGCCCTCCCAGGCCACAGCAGAGAGCTGCACTAGAAGAGGAGCTGCCAGGACCAGAACTCGGTGCCCACATGGGATGCTGGCGCCATAGGCGGAGGATCAGCCAAGTGAGTCATGGCCCTGGCCCCCTTAAGTTTGATTTTTAATACAAATTATATTAGGTTATTTTGAGAAAATTCTCTGTGTATTTGGAACATAGCTATAAATACAAGTGAAAATATATGTACAGGTGAAAACTATGGAAAGATTAAGACATTAGGATTTATTTGTTCTTTTGCATTTGCTAAGAAAAAAATTTCATTATTATCAATTTTTACAGATTAAAAAAATAAGAGGTCTTATGTCTTGTTAGTGACCTAGATGGGAAAAACTAATTAACTCCTTTTTGAATTGTAAGGGTGGATGATTTATGAGGTTTAGATACCAGTTTTATATTTGATGAGCAATGTATATTAGAATTTTACAAATGGAAGTTGTTGGTGCCAATCGCCTACTAACTCCAGGATATATGGTAGGATTCACTTGTAGTTTCATAATCCCATTTGTCTAATAATTTTTCTTTCTGTGTTCCACTTGACTGGTAATAGCAGATTATTTTTTCCCCCTGTAGAAAGTTCCTTGATTGTCAGCACATCTCCGAGGGCATAATCATGATATATTAAAAAATAATCATGTACATCATAATCATCTCACTCACATTTCCCAGAATATTTTTAATGAGGAGGAATTTTCTTTTTAATATTGATTGAGAGTTTCTTGGCTCAGGATGAGATAATCATATGCAAATTATTTTATTTGATATGCTCTTAGTTTAAATCCAGGTTTATAGCAAATCTTCATATTGGTTCCTTAACAAGAAAATGGTTCATAGCTTTTCCTGGGAAACTCTTTTTGTTTAAATTATACTGAAGCCACTGGAATTCTGAAGCTGTGGTAAATAATAGTAGAACGTATACCTAACCATATATACATAAAATAAGGATATAGATTGGGAAAGAAAATTATTCTGTTAAGATTCAAGTATGTATTACTAAAAACATAAAGTTACTGTTTCTTTTTGTGCTGACAATGATAGAATTACAAAGTTAATTTATATTAAAACAATTATGTTAAAAAGGAAAGGTGGGATGGATATTGTGACACAGCAGGTTAAGCTGTCCCTTGGCACTGGCAGCGTCCTGTATGAGTGCTGGTTGAAGTTCTGGCTCCACACTTTGGATTCACCTCTGTGCTAATGTGCTAATGCACCTGGGAAAGCAGTGGATGTTGATCCAAACACATTTGCCCCTTTCAGCCATATGGGAGACCCAAATGAAGTTCCTGGCTCTTGACTTAAGTATGGACCAGAAACAGCCTCAACCATTGCAGACATCTGGGAAGTGAGCCACTGAATTGAAGATCTGTCTCTCCACTCTCTAACCTTCTATCAACCTTACTTGTCAAATTAATAAAACTTTTTTAAAAAGGAGAAAAAATACTTCTACATTTATACTGTATTTACATTGTTTATATTCTATGTTTCTTATGGTTCAGGTATGATTTTTTATTCAACTGTGACCTGACTATTATCTTTAGAGCAAGGCCAAATAGCAAAGGAATACAAACAGATTCAATTAATTGTTTTGTGTATATAGGATGATCCAAGACTTTGAAAATATGTACTAATATACATCATATCCTATGTTGTTTGCACAAATATTGGCAAACATTCACTTTCAGAATATCTTTGTTTACATGAGAACCTATATTACCTGACCAATTAGGTGCATGATGATGGTATCTTCTTTTCTTGTTCATTTGGTTTTTTTTAAATATTGGGGCCATCTAAAGATGGTGGACTAACGTGACTGTAAGTGACTTTCCCAAGGACTTATAGCTGCTTAATGTCACAACTACAATTGACTTTAGGTATTTTTTCTAAAATGCCTTGGGCCTTTTCTAAGTCATAATTGTTAACTTATTATTTTTCCAGGTTATATATGAATTGTCCTGTGACTTTTTATTGTAAGATATATTCATTTTCATGTTTATTCTCATTTACTCTCTCCCTCCAACCTCTTGAATATCTTTAATTTTCATATAAAGCATTTAAAAAAGTTGAAATTAAAGTGAGCCATACTAATTGTGAGGCATCTACAAATGACAAGAAATTGTTGGAAATGTTATTAACAGTTGGGTTCTGGAAAGCATTTAAAAGCTAGTAGCACAGTAATGTGTCTAGTTTGATGTTACAGAGGGAAATATAAATTTGTTTTGACTAGCCAGCATGTGCCAAGAATTATTTTTGTGATCAGTTTATTGGGATTGATCATTCATAATTAAGCCAGAGCTCATAGTTGAAAATTTTTATTCGGGGCCTGTGTTGTACAGTGGGTTAAGCTGCAATCTACATTTCCAAAATTATATAGGGACTCCAGGTTCAAGTCCTGGCTGTTCCTCTTTTGATCTGGCACCCTGTTAATGCCTCTGGGAAAAGCAACAGAAGATGGCTCAAGTGCTTGGGCCCCTACCACCCATGTGGGAGACCCGTATGAAGCTCCTGGCTCTGGCTTCCATCTGACCTATCTCCTACCGATGTGACCATTTGGAGAGTGAATCAGCAGATGGAAGATCTCTCTCTGTCTCTGTAACTCTGCCCTTCAAGTAACTTAATTATCTTTTTTTAAAAAATGGAACTCTATGCCAAACTTATAATTTTTCTGTTTATAGTCAGCGCTAAAAATCATTATTGGATTCTAGAAGTTAAAGTTGTTTTCTTCATTCTAACTGGTCATTTCTTTTTCTGTATTGACTAGGTTTTTCTAGATATGACATTTGGTTCAGGAGGACACTCAAGAGCCATACTACAGAAAGAGTCAGATATTACTCTATATGCCTTAGACAGAGACCCAACAGCTTACGCAATAGCTGAACAGCTTTCAGACTTATATCCGTAAGTAATACTCTCATGTATTTATTTGGTATTGGTGCTGAGTTTTACGGAGCTTGTCAATTTGGAATTTGTTCTACTTTGTAGAATGTTATATTTCATTCCACTAAATGTTTTCTTCTTTTATTCCCAAAAAAGAATTAATGCAGCCGGCGCCGCGGCTCACTAGGCTAATCCTCCGCCTGCAGCGCCAGCACACCAGGTTCTAGTCCCAGTCGGGGCACCGGATTCTGTCCCAGTCGCTCCTCTTCCAGTCCAGCTCTCTGCTGTGGCCCAGGAGTGCAGTGGAGGATGGCCCAAGTCCTTGGGCCCTGCACCTGCATGGAAGACCAGGAGAAGCACCTGGCTCCTGGCTGGCTGCAGCGGCCATTGTGGGATGAACCAGCAGAAAAGGAAGACCTTTTTCTCTGTCTCTCTCTCTCACTGTCCACTCTGTCTGTCAAAAAAAATTAATGCAAATAATATCTTAGTACCAATTAAACAAATGATATTCCTGCATGTATCCTTTCTCAGTTCTCAAGAACAAATGCAAAAATAGGTTCTGACTACAAGATTGAAGATATATTGAAATCCATTATGAATATTTTAACAATCTAGTCAAAAAATGATTTTTAAAGTTTTTAAGAGTTAAAATTTTTGCTTCCCCAAAATTTAGTAAGTATATAAGCATTCTGTCGAATTCATGAAACATAGCTATAACCTACTAGTTTTCTCTAAATTCCATCTGACATTTGCAAGTCAATTTAATCTATTGCCATTGCACAATTAGTTAACTATCCCTATTGAGCTTTCAAAAAATATAAAATTATATTTTAATGAGCATTAAAAACCATTTACCTTTAAAGAAATATTTTTAATTAAGGACTTAAGGCAAATTTGTTGAATCATTTATTTATTTATTTTGAAAGAGTTAGAAAGAGAGAGGCACAGAGAAAGCTTCTGTCCACTGGTTCACTCCTCTGATGACTGCTTGGTCAAGTGAAAGTCAGGAGCTAGGAGCTTCATCCAGGTCACCCATGGGGCTGGCTGGGGCCCAAACACTTAGGTCATCTTCCACTGCTTTTCCTTTAGAAGGGATCTGGGTTGGAAATGAAGCAGCTGGGACTTGAATTGCCCAAGAGAGATGCTGGCTTCATAGGTGGTGGCTTTACACACTACACCACAATGCTGCACTGATCATACATGTTTGAAAAAAGCCATCACCCTAAAAAGGAAAAGAAAATCTTGTAACTAAGATGACTATCTCCAAACATGTAAAGGGTGTTTTCAGAATGGGGAATTGTTTTTATTTTCTTATGCTTCAGAGACTAGAATCAAGAAAACAGATGATGATTTCAGAGTTAAATTTTGACTTGGTATGAACTAGAGTTAATTTTTAAAAATTATTTATTTATTTAAGTAAGGTAGAGAAAGAGATAGTTTCCATCTATTGATTTCCATCCCAAAAGCCTGCAATGGCCTTGACTGGGTAGGGTCCTGGCTGAAGCCCGAAGTTGAGAACACAGTCTTTGACTCCCACATGGTTGGCAGTAACTCAGTTATTTGAGCCCTCACTGCTGCCATGCAGATTCTGTATTAACAGGAAGCTGGAGCCAGGAGCCAGAATCAGGTATCAAAAGCAAGCATCTAGTTGAGAATTTGGAACATGTAGCAAGCATTTTAACTAAGTGCTCACTTCTGATCTATCATGTTTTACTGGTTGTAGCTACCCAACAATGAAATGATCTATTAAACATGACTATGGAAAAGTTTAATCAGAGACTGAGGATGGAAAGTTGAAATACCTATCTAGAATTTTAAGGTCCTAGATTCTTTGTAGATCTACTTAATATAATTAACTGTCCTCATAAATTTGTAAATAAATATATATCAATTTCTGATTGCCAGATAATGGGATTTATGGGAACCATGAAACCTACCATTTGATCTCAGGTTATTTATTTTGTTCTAAGAATAATATAGAAATATGGTTTAAGACCATAGTACTATGGTAATGACTTTTTTATTGTTTTAATCTTTCTCTGTCTTCTCCAGCAACTTAGATTATACTATCTTATATTAGAATATTCATATATAAGTTTGCATGATTATGAGCTAAAAGCTATAGATCTTCATTATATCTCACAGTCTAGTGTGGGGAGCAACTCGGACTAGACTAAGTTACTGGAATTAAGACTTATTCTATGCATCTGCTCTCCCACAATATGGCGCTGGGAGAGAAGAAAACAGCTTCTACACAGCTGCCTCCAGTTCAGCCAATAAACTGTAGGACTTGCTCCTGATTGGAGGAGAGCAGCGTGCTCGGCTTGTGGGCAGCCGAGTTGGGATTGGCAGAGGAGGACTATAAAGGAGGAGAGAGACGGCATGCACGAGGAACATCTAAGGGGAACATCTAAGGGGAACACCTGTGCAGCCCCCGAGAGAGCCGGCTGGCGGTGTGCCACTCCCCTGCGGAAGTGGGGAAAGTGGCCAGGGGGAACCGCCCTTCCACGGAGGTGGAAGGGACAGTAGCCAACCCGGGAAGAACCAGCAGCAAACCCGGGGAGGGCCGAGCAGACGAAAGAACAGCGCAGGGTCCTGTGTCGTTCCTCCACGAAGAGGGGGAGCGACAGTCTAGAAAACCCTGCTTTCTTAGATATTATTCCAATGTCTCTTACTCCTTTAAACACCCTCTTTATCAAATGGAGTTCAAAGTTTACATGTTTTACTATATATAGCTTTTTTTTTTTTAATTCATCTAACTTAAACCTCTGGCTCTATACTTGCATTTCTCAGATATTAGCTACATAGATGGAAAGGTTTTCTAACAAGCCAAAATGATATAACTGGGACTAACCTGGAGTATGTATCTTGATCCCTAGCCTAATAATTCCATTTTACTAAACTATACTACTTAGGCTCAAATCTGGAGACCTTTTTTTTACTCCATTCACAAAAGGATTTCTTTGCTAAACATAATAAATTAAATAGAAAACCAATAAAATAAATCAAACCAGGAAGAAAGAATTAATAAACATTGCAAAGAAACAAAAAAAGAAAGTAGAAAGGAAAAAGAAAAGAAAAATTCTTTGAAAATAGCAACATGCCTTTTGAACCTGATTATTAGAACAAAAATATATAATTAGGAGTGAAGTAATAGATCAGCCCTATTCAGAAATACAAGATAAATTCATATGTGGTAAATTATAAAACATAGGGGGAATGAATGGTATACTAGCAAAATATGAAATTAAAATTATCTCAGTTATGAAACTGGAAGAGGTCATTACCATAAATATATCATAAAAGTAATTAAAGGAAATAGGAAAATACACCCTCTTCAAATTGACAGTTAGTCTTAACAAAATTTGAGCGAACAATGCCTTTTATGCTAGTCCTTAGCAAGGTAAAGATGCAAGGTTCTTTCAGTTCATATTATGAACTCAGTATAATTTTAATACTAAATCCTGATAGAGATATTATTTAAAAACCCAGCCTCATTGAAGTGTACAAATTCAAGTATTGAAAAGGAAATTCAAATATATCTAATCTGCACTTCATTCGTTTAGAAGAATGTTACCTAGGGACTAGTAAACTTTCTTCAGGTACACAGGAGTGGTTTCTTGTCAGATAGTCAACTAATGGTAGATTGATAATCATGACAGTAGTCATCCAGCTGTTCTGATTTAAAATCTCTGCAGTAAACAAGAGAATATAAGGATACTACTGAAATATAGAATATTGCCTTAAATAAGGACAAATAGCAATTATTTTCATAATCAGTGAAATATTACAATTTAAGTGAGAATTGGGGTGTAAATAAGGTTTAACTTCTATAAATATTATCCCTTAATGTTTTTGGAAGGTCAAATATAATTAAGAAACTAAGGGAAAATTAAAACATTCTCTTACAATAATTTAACTGAATAAATACCCAAAAGAGTTGTTAAATTTACAAAGTTACATGATAACATGGTTAGATAAAAATTTAAAAATCTATTCAAGTAGAAGTCCCTAGAAAGCAAAATAGAAGAGAATATACAAAACCATATATTTAGTAATAAGCTTCATAAAAAAAGGCAAAGTTCCCAGTGGAAAGTAAACCATGTAATTTTTATTAAAGACTACATATAATAAGATCTGAACAAAATGGAAGATGTAATTTTAGGGTAGATAGAATAAATATAAAAAGTACCTAGTTTCTCAAAATTTAAATATACATACAATGTACTTCCAGGAAACAGCTTAGTTTTGAACTTAACTGTTGTTTATCTTTTTTTATTTGAATGATTTGATCTTGAGACAAAAGTGAGAAGATCTTTTTGAATTAAAAAAAAGGTGAGAAGTTTGCCTTACCAGATGTCAAATCATTTGTGAAATCACTGTAATGAAATCTAGACAGTATTGCCACAAAAATAGACAAGTAGAGTAGTAGAAGAGAGAATTGAAAAATAGATTCCAGGAAATGAAGGAATTTGACAGAAAAGTATCTTTATTCACTGAAGAAATAGTATATTATTAAATAAATAGAACTTTCAAACCTAAAGAAACTAAATAGGTCCCTGTTTTAACCTAGATTAAAAATAACTTATAGATACATGTATGAAAAATTGAAAATAAGAGACTTAAGAATATTGAAGAAATTAATGTCTGTAATCTAGGGGAAACGTCCTTAACCAAGACTAGATATTTATCTGTAATTGAGGAAGGGAAAGAGGGAGGGAGAGAATTATGGTTATCTTCTTTGAATTGTACCTATGAAATATATAAAATATATTTGCTTTATACTTATAATTTTTTAAAAAATAGAAATATGCTCATTTCAAAAATGTATGGCAAAAAGAGTATCATAATTTTCAAAAAAATTAATTTGGAAAAGAGCTATTTGAAATGGAGAAGATTGGGAAAGGATTGATATCTTTCATATAAGAATTCTTCCAAAATTGACAAGATAACAAAATCCAGTTTTATACCAATGTTCTCTCTTATGTGTGGAAGCTAAAATTAAAAAAAGAAAAAGAAAA